CTAATTGTACTACAGGGTGTAAGTTATATGATATATATTAGGGATTGGACCCGGTTGGACTATACCCGGGTTACCCGCAGGTGAGTGGGTATCCGGGTGGTAATAATTTCCACCCGGGTGGAGGCAGGTGGAGACAGGTGGGTCAACCCGTCAGGTCAACCTGGCAGATTACCCGTCAGGTCACCTGTTTAGTCAACTGTTGTTGATTAAATTTTTTTATTGATCAATATGAATCATTTAAAAGTTCCCGTTTAGTATTAATTATTAATAAATTAGTAAAATGATGAAGTTACATTTATCTTCAAAACATGATATTCATTGTTATTTGTTAAAAGAAATAGTTTATATTGTAAAGCTTGGAGTTAATAATATTTGAAATATCATAAATTTGTCTTTTTTTAATCATTATATAACAAAAGAAATTAATATATAATATAAATGTTTTACAAGTTTTAAAATAAATAGTAATTTTTATATGAATTACGGGTGGGTAGCGGGTGGGTTGACGGGTTGGGTTGACCTGACTTTCACCCGGGTGACCCGCGGGTCCATCTGCCAGGTGACCCGGGTAGAGATTTTTTTAGACGGGTCCAATCTCTACCTCCAAGAATTTCATTGGTGTCTTGCACTTTAATTATTGCTACAGTACGAGATTGATTATCACATATCTTATGAAATTGTCTAGCTGTAAATCCATTACGAGGTCCACGAAAAATTAATTTTAATTTTCAATTCATCTGTAATTTCTAATCTATCAATCCATTTTGAAATTAATTCAGCGTGTTGGTTTTTAATTATTTTGGAATCAACTATTTTTAGTTGATGGACTATAATTGCTATTCAGAAATAGTTTTAATAATTCTATATAAAACTCATTGGTAGAATTTTCCTATAAGGAAACACATTTTTCAAGAATTCTCTTGGGTTAAATTAAAGAATTTCATAAAAGGAATACATTGTTGCAAAGTATTTTTAAAGTATTAAAATCATCATTTGAATAACATGAAGGATCCGACAAAAGCCCAGCTAGGGATTGGAACCTGTTAATGTTAACCGGTTAATTAACCGGTTAAGACGGTTAACCGGTTAAAGGATTTTGAAAATCGGTTAACCGGTTAAAACTATATTTATCATAATTCTAGTCAGATTTATATAATGCGGCCCAGAGACATGTAAATTGCGGCCATGTGTTCCTAAACTTGAAGTTTTAATGCCGAATTTTTTTCTATTTATTTATAATAATTTTAGTGATATATAGTCTTCCTATAACTAAAATCCAAAATTGGTACAATTTGCAGTAAAAAAATTTTTTAAAATATTTTTAATATTAACCGGTTATTAACCGAGACCCTTGGTTAACCGGTTTTTAACCGGTTAAGGTTTTTTGGACGGTTCCAATCCCTATATTGAGCAATACCTCATTTAAGTACATGCACCAAACTTGAACCTCAGTCATTTGATGATTATTAAAGCTTTTTCTGGAGTCGAAGTAAAATCAGATGAATCGAAAATTTTTTCTGGATGTTTGGATAATAACTCTGCACAAAACTTTGGAGATCCAAGAAAGTATTATGTCCAAAACTCGTCTGGTATATTAGGTTAAAATTTTGTTTCAACCAGTTTTCATTGTTTTCAATCAAAAACGATTGAATATGAGGAATTAATTCTTGAAGACTTAGTTCATTAGCGGCAATCAAGATTTTAACAATATCTAAAATATCATATTCTACTAAAGAAATTCTTCCACCATAAATATATCTAAGATATAATTAAAAAAATATTTTTACAAAAATAATGACTTTTTTATAACAATTTAGTTTGTCATTTCTTTATAATTATTTGAAAAATTTTAGATAAAATATTTGGTAATTTAATATGTGCTAAAGTTCCGTCATTTTCTTTTTATTAGTTGATAAAATTCTTCGTAAATAAGGAGAACGATAAATTAAAATGACCATGTGAGAGCGAAATGTTTTTATCGACTTCAATTGTAATATCATAATATTCATCATCATATAAAATTTCGATTAAATTTTGTGATAATTTTGGTAAAAATTTATTCTCAGCCATTATTGTCAATGTTAAAATAAAGAAAAGAGTATAAGAATTTTGCTTAATTTGTTTAATTTGTGGAATTGTTTTATCTGATAATAAATAAATTCATATTTATTAATAACCGATGAAATTTACTCAAAAAAAAATCATTCTAATCGTCAAAAAGATTTTCATACTAATTCCATTAAAAATAAATATGAAATTTCGTAATTATAATATATCATAGTAACATTAAATCATTTTTTCAATAAGAGCGAGAAAATAAATTATTTTAAAGAAATATTTTATAAATAAAAGTTAATGATGAAGAATCGAAAAAACAGTCATGAAAATATTAATATTGTCTCAATTTAGAGAATGATCATGTGTAGATCAGACTCGGTCGCAGAAATGATTAATGTTTCCCATTTCGGTAAAGCAATACGATAAATTTAAATTAAGATTACTAAATTTGATATATTCAGTATTAAAAATCTTACATTAAATATAAACAAATAACAAATTATTGTTAAAAAATCATCTGAACTGCTTTGCAGTTCGCCTATACTTGGAAGGGTAAATTAGTAATATCACTGAATATGCTACGTCCAATCGTCCATTGTAGTTCTATTAGTATCAGATATTACAAATACAAAGTATAGTAGTTAACGTAATGAAGGCGATAAGAACGTGACTATACTTGTCCTACGTTACTAATTGATTTAAAATATCGCGAACTCGTAAGTCGTAACAAAGAATCAAAAAGAACAATCAAAATGGGTAATTACTATTATTATTCACCTTATAATCTACTTTCTGCTATTAGCTTACTTGTTATATCAATTTTTTGCAATAAAAAAAAACGCTTCTCATCTAATTATTTCGCTAAAAATGAATTCTACTAAGCTTTTAAAAATTGAAGATTAACAACTTTATGTTTGTTCTAATTTTCCATGTATTTTGGATTTAAATAATTTATATTTTTAACAAAAACAAGGGAACTAAAAATAATACGTAAATTGTTCCTCCCTTGTATAATTTGGGTAATTCAGACCTACAGTACCAATCTCTTATTATTTATTATCGGTCGTCGATTTAATAATGTCTGTGCTATGAGAAATAATATCAAATTATGTAACTTAAAGCCATGATCATTTCTATCTATATTAACCGATGAATGACTTTTTAATAAAATATTTGAGAATATTTAAAAATTCTTTTAAGTTACTCAATTTGATCTTAAATTTTTAAATGAACTGATTTAGGGGAAGGAATTCATACCAAATTTGTAATATAATTGGATAAATTTTAATGTAACTTAATTATTTAAATATTTGAACTAGCAACAAGCCCGTTGCTTCGCATCAGGATTAATGATTACCTTGAGATAAACAAAAATTTATAATATACGGATATAAAATGATAAGAAAAAATCTATTTTCGTTTCTTGATTAACTTTGGAAAAGAACATCATTATGATGACAATATTTCCATGAACTTGGACAATGCACATTTCGTCAACTTTGAAATTCAAATAATATTCTCAAAAATGGATATATTTGATTGAAACGGGTTACCAGCAGTTGGATATTGTTTACAGGATGAGAACTGGACGTAATCTAATCAAATGCTGTATTTAAATGTGATTAAATGAATTAAAAATGGGTTAACACTTTTTGATGAATAATAATCATTTAGATATTCTGATAATTTTATGTATTAGTTATTTACTAATCTAGTAGTATATAAATGGGTTATCATCCGAAGGATGATGGCCCATTTATATACTAAACTAGATCAGTAAATAACTTTTTTATCATCCTAGATATACTAATTGGTCCGCCAGTTTATAACTGGCGGAAAAAATCCTAAATACCAATTAGTAGCCAGGTGATAAAACATAATTATTAAATAAAATTTATACAATTTAAAATAATAATCAAATGAATGTTTTATAAATAATTTTTATTAAAAAATACTAGTGCGTTGTTACAAAATTAACTTGCTTGTACATGATATTTTTTATAATTATCTTTATTTAATAATTGAAAAGTCCTATAAAAAAATAGAGAATTGAATTATTTAAATTACAAACTAAGAATCTTTTTAATACTCTAATCTTAGTGTTTAAATAATTTCAAAATAAAAATAATAAGTAGTGAAAAATGAATTTGTTATCAAGTAAATTAATTTAAAATCCATCTAAAGAGGATAAATATATTAGTGAATGAATATAATATATTATTTTAATCTTATTAAAATATTAAATTATAAACAAACCATCAGGAATTTCTTGTTTATCCTTTTTTTCTGAATGAAGATTTGGATTATTTTGTACTTCATCTATAAAAATATGATAAGTTAGAATAATAATACTGGCCATTATTATATATAATTTATTTTACTTACCATTAATACTAATATTTGTTCGTTGCTGCATTATTTCTCTCTCATAGTCATTTTGAACGTCGTCTATTATTTAATAAATCAAATTTAATAAAATATTCATTCTTATATTTAACGAAAATTAGAATTAAATGTTTAAGACTTTACCATTCTCCATTTTCAATTTTTTAAATAATCTGGATGATTCTTTGCTATCATTATCTGTAATCAAGATATAAATTAGTATTTATTCATTCAAAATTCTAATATATACTTTTAAAATTAATTGATGTACACTGATTACTTGATTTACTAAGATTACTAGCTATAATGAAAATCAATCATATATTATTTTATTTATATAAAATTCAATATTATTTTAATAAATACTTACCATTACTAGAAATACTAAAATCATATGATCTAGTGGTATAAAATGCTATTTAAAAAAAAAGATCATTAATTAAAGGATTTATACTAAAACATTATTAACTTTATATTACCTATTTGTTCTTCTATTATTATTTAATTAAAAAAAAGGTATCGTTAATTATAATGTTAAAGAAAAAAGAATCAAATAGTTAATAAACATTAAAAAGCATACCTTCCGTTGCATTTTTTGGTTCATGTAGATTTTCAAAATTATGAATTTTACTTGTAAATATTTTACTACTCATTATATTATTTGGTTTTTTACCTACTTTTATTATTGATAGAGGTAGTTCATCAGGTTTATTTCGATAATATGTCATAATTTCATTCATCTTATCACGAAGTGTATTAATATCAGGCCTTTTTAATGGATTAGCATCCCAACATTGCTCAATTAGATTTTTATATTTGGAAGGAATTTCTGATATAATTTTTGGTCTTATACCATCAATGATATTGATTGCAAAAATACAATCATGTTCATAATTCATAAATGGAGGTTGCCCAAATGAAATTTCCCACATAAGAATTGCAATACTATAAATATCAGATTTAAAAGTATATCCTTTTCCATTAATAACTTCAGGAGCTATGTAAGGAAGATTTCCATATATACTTGTTGATGGTTTGTCTGCAGGGCCACAAAATCCAAGATCACTAATAAACCAATGACTATTAAACTGTGAATATAATATATTTCCAGAATGCAAATCTCTATGAATTGAATTCTCTTTATGAACATAATAAAGTGCATTGATTATTTCAAAAGTAATTCTAATTCTTTCATTCCATGTAAGTTGATTATGATTTTGTTGTAAATATTCTCTTAAATTCAAATCAAGCTTATACATTACAAGTAAATAATTTCCACTTGATGGATTTTGTGTTAAACCATAACATTGAACGACATCTGCCCATTTATTACTTATAGTTAAATGTGATTTAGCCTTGAATTTAAAATTTAATTGTTAATAATATTATTTATTTTTTTTAAAGTTCTTTAAATATTTTTAACTTACAAACCTCTTCAAACCAACTTTGACTTGCATTTTCAACATTTTTTAATTCTTTAAGTATTATAGCAAGAGTTCCATGTCTTATTAATTGTCGCTCTTTAGAATCCCATTCTTCATATCCACCATTAATCCAATCTGCTGTATAAATCTCTGAGAATCCACCTTTTGTCAGATATTTAATATTTTCTAAATTATTAAATGGGATCCATTCAATAATAACATCTGGTCTAAGTGTTTCCATTTGACAATTTATTATTAAATTATCAATAACATTATTTCCAGAAGTCCAATTTGAAAAATTAGATTTTAAATAATTTCGAACACAAAATTCACAATATAATGTAGCTAAACATTTTTGGTTACAATTTTCACAAACTCTTCTTGTCCCATCATTATAAATAATTTTAGCTCGGTCATAATTTTTATTATTTGATTTTATTGCTTCCGTTTTTTCTTCTTCTGTAAGAGAATTATCAGCAAGAATTGTTTGTTGCATAAATTCATGTTGTTCATGGAAGCTATTGTGAACATTATAATCAATTAATGCAAATGCTCTACTAATTGCTGCACGTATTAATTCTTTCCGAATATTGGACATTTTTGTAAAAGAAAAAAAAAATATTTTTAAGTTGCAAAAAAAAAATAAAGTTTTCATAGACGGTTAAACAAATAAGTTGTGCAACCACCAAAATTTTATGTCATGTGCTGTATTGTAAACAAAATAATGATCATCTGATCATACAATATAGACAAAAAATCCGACATTGCCAGCAAACATATATGATGTAAAAACTACAAAGGTACAAATGACGTTAAGTTTAAGCTTTTGTAGACTAGAATTATTTATTGCAAATTTAATTTTGATGTTCTTGGAAAAAAACCTATTTTATCAAATCATCATAGAATTCAAATGTGAAACACCTCTAAATTCATAGTAAAATAAAATTTTAATTGCCATATTTGTGATGGCGATTGTCTATGTTATCAATAAATTTCAATGGTAATAAAAAAATATTAAATATCAATAATGGGTTAATTTTCTTAACTTTTTAATATTATTTATTTTAGTTATTGCTTGGGATTTTTTTATTGGCAATTGATGTTTAATGAACCAAATTTGAAGTTTCGAATGAAAAGGCGAAATCAAAAATTCAATTTTGATTGTAAAGTGTTATTTGCATATTTCGATATTATAATAAAGTAAAATATTTTTCAGACAAAATTCATTACCTTTTTCGTAACATAATGAGCTTATAAAAATTAAAAATTAACCATATTTAGATAATTTCTCTACACAATAAAACTTTTTTTAAAAAAAAATTCAGAGATCATTTCTTAATAATTTTTTATTGCAGGAAAAAAAAATTATTGTAGTTGGAGACTAAAGTCAATAAATGTTTAAGAGTACAAGACATTACATACTATCCATTTTTTAGATATAGCTGGAATTCTGGATGACATTATTGATGACTATATCTATTTGGTAGAGTTTGGAACCGGTTCTATTTTCGAACCGAATTTAAAACGGGTGCAACCGGTTCGATCCGTTTCAAACCGATTTCGCAAAACCCGATTGAAACCGAATAACCGAATCGTATATATTTGATTATTCCGGCCAGAATTAAATGTGATCGGCTTAAATCTGGCCAAGTTATAATTCCGGCCGGAATTACAACCCTTGTGTAACACAATACGAAATTTTGTGGGACACAATTATCTGTAATAAAATTTTGTGTAACATAACTTACCCGGTGGCTAAACTATTTAGCCGTGGTCACGTGATTTTAATTCGTAATTCGGGCCAGCACTATAAAGTTTCAATATCAAACCGGGTTGGAAATCCGGTTGCACCCGTTTTAAACGCAAACCGGTTTCAGAATATGAATTCGGGTCAAACCGAATTGTCAAAAAATCGGTTGGAACCGATTTTTAAACCGGTTGGTGCAACCGGTTCCAAACTCTACTATTTGGTGATCGACTCTATAAAATGATCCATCGTTTTTTATTCACTTTTTAATGCAAAAAAAAAACATTTACTAGGACTTCCTAAGAATTTAGGCCATTAGAAAATTTTACTCACCATTTGCATAAAATTCTTGAAGAATAAAGATTTAAAATCCTGAAGTTGATGGTACAATAACCATTTCGGGATTTTGTAATTTTATATTACGAAGATTATGAAGTGCCAAGGAATTAACATTTCGGGATTACGATTTTTTGGGATTATGATATTTTGAACATGCTTTTTATGTCAGATTGTGCTACATTTGAGTGGAGATATACAAAAGAAATATTAACTATAATATATATTTTGATATTTTTATAAGAAAGTGTAATAATTACAACTTGAAATAATTAAAGTGTAGCTTCAAGAATCAAGGCTTTTAAAGATGTACAAATTGTCAATGTTTCCATAAAATTAGTGAAAACCTCTAACTATTCTACCCTTTCTTTTCTCGATATCCAGATCCTAGTGATGGCCATGCTCAAATGACTGGTCACGTGCCATTTGGGTCATTTCAGCATTAAATGACAAATGACCTAGCCATTTAAAATTACATCATAATTCTGGCCAAAGTTATCTAGTTATCTATGTAATTTCATTGTTTCAAGGATAAAATTATATTACGTGATAATATGAATTTGTAATTCCGGTCGGCATCATAAATTTGGTCAATTAATTCTAAATGACTCAAATGACAAATGACCCGAATGACTAGGTTCGGTCATTTCAAAATGGTCAAATGACCTCCATCACTGACGCAATGTGATACAAAATGTCCATAATTCTGATTGGCACAACAAAAATCTTAATTAGTTTAAAATCTTTACTATTCTCACATGATATTATAATGTAACCACAAATAGTAATAATAAGATCCATATGATTTTTTTTGTTTGTAATACAGTATTGAACGTAGAAGCAAATGTTTTACTTTTTTAAAAAAAAAAAAAATTCCAAAACTCTTACCTTTTCATTTTTTAAAATTAAACCTAAATTTTTCAATAATATTAACAAAATGCCTCAACTTCTCGCTGATTGTCTTGATGAAGTTATTGAATATTTAAATGATGATAAATATAGTTTACATTCATGTTTATTAGTTAATCGCCTTTGGTGTCGAGTTACCGTGGGAATTTTATGGAGAGATTGCAATAATTATAGTATTTCGGATTATAGAACTTTAATTAATTGTCTTCCAGATGAGTCCAAAAAAAATTTAAAAGAAAATGGAATTATTATTTCTACCTCACATCCAATTTTCAATTATGCAATATTTTGTAAAGTTTTATCAATTAGTAAAGTTCATGAAAAAATTATTCACCTTCTTGAAAATCAATATAATCTTTTACTTGAAGATCTTATCAATTATACACACGTAACAGTACAAGAAATATGTAAAATGTATATGAATCAGACCTCTTTAAAAGTTTTAGAATACGTTCAATATTCTGATGTAACTTATGATATTTATCCTAGTCCAAGAGATTTCTTAAAAAATCTTACAGAATTAACTTTTAGTTCAAATATTTCACCTGAACTTCTTATTAATTTGACTCAAACATGTCACAATTTATTCCTTTTAGATGTAGTAATTATTTATCATGTTCCAAAGGAATTAGTTGATTTAATTACCATTCAGAAAAATTTAAAATGTTTTGGTATGATGATACATGATGGACCGAAAGATGAAATCAATTCAATTCCATTATTAACGATGGAACTTCCTAAAACTTTAACCAGATTTGTTGTTGTTGGAGGGAATTATAAAATTTCATTGTCATTTCTAGTAAATTTTACAAATTTACAAGAACTTGAAATATCATTTGATTTTAGTGAATGTATTGAGAGTTTTGAAAAGTTACAAGATGCTATTTTCCCACAATTACAAATTTTAATAATTAAATATTCATGTCCAAGAATGGAGTTTTTAATAAAATTTTTAAAAAATAACGGAAAAAATTTAAAAAAAATTCACATAGATGTCGATGATTGTGAAAGTGGAATTAGTGAGGATAGTGATGTAGATAGTATTAATTCCTTGAACTTAACTATTGCTAAATATTGTCCAAACATCAGAAAACTTTCTACTGGATTTAGTGATAAAGCATTGGAAACGTTAAAAATATTATTTAATAATTGTCAATACTTAGAAAGTATTAAAATTTGGTGCGGAGATAGATTTTTGAACGAAAAGGAAGCATTGGAGACGGTTTTGAAATATTCAAAAAATATTTATGAAATAATTTTACAATATCAGTTTGACTTAAAATTTGAATTATTTCCAAGTGAATTAGAGTCCTTTTTTATAGATTGGAAAAAACGTATACCACAAAAACCACTTTCTTTTGTGATCATTGATAGTGCATTTTGTAAAAATAGATTAGATAAAAATGTTGAAAATATGAAAATTATTGAAACGTATACCAAATTAGGTGTTGTTAAGAATTTTGAAATTGGTGATTATTCGTGAATTATGGATTTATTAATTTATTCTGACTTATACATGTATTTTTTTTTTGTAAATCTAAGGAACTTTCTTTTTTATTATTACATATTTTAAATCTTATCTATATATATTTTTAGTAATATATAAGAACATTTTTATATATTAAAAAAACTTTAAAAAAATATAAAAAAAATGTAAAAAATATAAAATAAAAAAAAAATAAAGGATTTATATTTTATGAAAAATATTTCTTTTGTTTCGTGTGTCTAATGGATCAAACATAGCTTTTTTGTATTTTATATCTCAATACGTGTAAGTCAGCACTTTTTTAGTATATCCGTGTTTAGATCTGATTAACCACATTAAAAACTCGTCACACCACTTATGACGCTTACTTCTGTGATATCACTCATCTTTACTTACAAAACCTACCACGAATAACCCTTATTTTCTATATACTATCACTTTATACATGACACATAATCATACCAAGGTTTGAAAAAAGCGTTTTGCATTCTGAAAACTGATTATCTTAAAATTTTCATCCAGTATTTATTTATATTTTTACAGGGATTAAACACCAGGGTTAAATATGGGTAAATCTGGGGGAAATTGATCAATTCAAGTTTTATTCCAAATTTTATCCCAGATAAATCTGGAGTTTAGCCCTAGACTTTTAATCAGAACGGTAATTCATAGTTAAAAAAGCATTGTTTTCGCATCAATCGTATTTTCATATAATCTACAGATCAATTTCCCGTCTTCATTTTTTATTAATGAGATTTTTTATAAAATTAATGTATGACATTAATTAATTTAACAAAAAAATATATATATTTATATTTATATTAGAGTAACTTTCAATTTCTCATTTATTTAAAACAATGCTTCCAAAAATCAAATAAAAGCTGGGTATAAAAGTCATAGCAAGGAATCATCAAGAAATTTCCAAAATAGTATTAGATGTATTAATGAACGAAACATCAGGTTATTTATAATTCCAACATTGATAAATGCGACAACGAGTACATTAAACGGATATGACACTATTATACAATGAAATATATGATATACATTACATATATAGTATGGTATTATTTGCTACCTATAATCAAAAAAATTAAAAATTTCTTATCTTAATATTTGTCACGTATTCTCTTGCATAATGAATAAATGTAATGTTAAAGCATTTTCTTAGAATATTTTATAAATATTTCACTTTCAATACTGCTCTTATTATTCTTTCGACCATAGTATATCGGTAATTTTTTGTTCTAATTAATATAGTAATGAATTTATTGTTCAATTACAAACTGATATTACTCAAAATAAACTTATATGTTACACGTTTACTTTATAATCAATAATGTTATTAATTACTATTATGTAAATATATAATCCTAATTATAAACCCAAAAGATAAAGTTAAAAAAATATTTCAAATAATATAATTATGTATTCAATCTATTATTTCACATTCTAATTATCAGATTTTAAAAGATCTTGATCTAAAATGTAAATAAGTATATCAAATAAATAAATTATAGAAGTTTGTTTAAGATGAAAATTATTAAATACCTGAATCTAGCACGTCGGTAAAGGCAAATTATTAGTATCTAATAAATTAAAATTAATATCAATTTTTAGCTAATTCTGTTTGATTTTCTTTACTATTTATGTACGCACTAAGTTCATTCATCCATTTATAAAATATTTTTGAAAGATCCATTGCATTTGGTTTATCTAAAACAATTTTTAATTAAAACCAGAATTAATTGAGGTACTTTAATATTAAAATTTGGCCTCAAACCTTCACAAATATTTAATGCTAAATATTGAGCAGCATTATCATAATACGGAGGAAATCCTGAGATTATCCTAAACATAATTATACCAAAACTATAGATGTCAGAAGATTGGGTATAAATTTGACCTCTTAAAATTCCAGGAGCTACATAAGGTAAAATACCATACACATTATCTTCTAATTCTTCATAATTTACTGGTTTACAAGAACTCATACCAGCTATACAAATCACACTATTAAAACATACTATATTTCCAATATGTAATTCTCGGTGAATTAATCCTTTTATGAGAATTCTCTTAAGTCCAGATTCTGTATTTTGTAAAACATTAAATTTACGTTTCCACTTCAAATCAAAAAGCATGTTTGTTATATGATTTTTCCCTTAAATAATTTTGTAAATTTCTTCGAACAGCATATGCCATAACAATAATATAATTTTTTGTACTTGTATCTTGGCATATTCCATAACATCTCACAGTATGATGGGATGGTTTATCTTCAAATATTTTAATATATGATGTAATCTAACTGAAATTATTAATTTTCATCATTATTAACCAGGAAAAGAAAATTTATGACAAAAATGAAATCAGTAGAGGAAATCTATCGAGCTCAATTTATTATTATATAAATCAATTATATAGAACGATTAAACTATTGTAAATCATATTAGGAAAATTTATTTGTAAGTACAGAATAATTATTCAAGTATGATAGAGTAATATATTTTAAGGAATTTCTTTTTAGAATATCAAAATAGTAAATCATTATTGGTAAATATGAAATAACGTCATTGATTACATTTGATTATTCTATCAAAACTCTACAAGTATTATTTTCAATGATCAATACATATCAATAAAATCGGAAATATAATTTATAAATGTTTTTCCATTATAGCAGATGCTTTTATATGCAAAATTCTTGATATAAACGAACTTTGTGTTCATATTGTTACAAATAATCGTACGTGTTTAAAACAATTCTTATAAATATTATAATAACAATTTTCTGAGAGAGAAGATGATTAGAGAATTGGCAATTTATTTTGTGTAGAACATAGAATCAATTATTCCTATTGCTATCATGTACGGTACATTATGACACTAGTATCCAAAATAATCCAATGCAATGTTCTTAATTTTCATATCCACCGAATTTAGCTGTTATATATACACATATATTATATATACTGTACATATATAATGATACTTTTCCTCTGATAATTGTGAAAGATTAGGATTTATATTACGAAATAAAAATCAATTAGGTAATTGCTGAAATTAAAAAGTGAAAAAAAATAACGTGTTTGCTTATTAAAGTTTATATAATTTGATAGAATATCATGTGATTAATCGTAATTCGAAAAAAAAAATGAATTTTAGTTAACTTGGTCTAAACTACCTTAGGAATTTAAAAAAAACTATTTTAAAACATAGCCTATTATTTAGGAACTTTAGATAATGTACTACGGTTATTTGATTAAAACATCCGACTTAATAGTTGTATATTAATAATTAATTACGAAATTATTGAATATTTGAATCCATTAAACTATAATGTGTGTAATATTGCATCAAAATTTCCATTGTCAGTTATATTAAAAATCACATTTAGACATTTAGTATAAAATTGCTTTTTTATCCTTTTAAATTTAACTATTAAAGTTAAATTAAATTCATCAATTATTTAAACCCTTTAGGACAAATTAAACAAAAACGATTTATTACGCATAAAATGATATAATCAAATGTTAAAATCGTTATTTATATAATTTATATAGAATATTCTTAAATATAAAATCCAATAAATCTATATGTAAATATAAAAACTAAGATAAAAATTTATAAAGTATAACAAATAAATAGAACTTCAATAATTTCAATACATAAACTATCTGACTTCAACTTTCGCATGAAAAAGAAACTTCATTCAATATTATTGTTCATCATCTTGACAAATTTCATTTAGTTCTATAAAAAAATAATAAATTAGATATAGAATATTAATAAAATTACAAATAATAATAACTTACCTAATTCACTTAATTGAACATCTAAGCATTCTGAAACTGTATATTATGTATTTATAGTATTTAAATGTTAATAAATTTAAATAAAATAAATTATTATAATAATAAAGGGAATACTTACTTGGATTTGCTGATGTTGATTGAGCAGTAGAATTAGAGTCTATTAAAAATAAAAATAACATTAATAATGTAAATTGGATTATATAATAAAAAAAAATTAAATTTAATTACCTGAACTGAATTGAAAAAATGATAAATCTGAAGAATTTACTGGTTTTGGAAGATTTTTGAAATTTAAAAGTCTACTAGTATAAATTGCTTGTGGATGCGTTTTGAAGCTTTTGGATTTATCTTCATTTGATCTGTTTTTGAATTTTTCTTTTCTAATTTTATCACATTCTTTTATTTGAAAATATATTTCACTATTTTGATTATTGTCACCATCTTCACTATCTTCATTATCTTCATCTTCAACATCTTCAACATCTTCAACATCTTCAACATCTTTAACATCTTCACCATCTTTAGCATTTTCACCATCTTTACCATCTTCACCATTTCCACCATCTTCACTATCTTCGCCATCTTCATCATCTTTAACATCTTTAACATCTTCACTATCTCCACCATCTTTACCATCTTCACCATTTCCACCATCTTCACTATCTTCGCCATCTTCATCATCTTCACTATCTTCACTATCTTCACTATATTCAATATCTTTAGTACCTTTAATTTCATTATTCCATTCATTTAGTGTTTGATACAACTCTTTAGTGATTGGTCTATTTTTTATTTCAGCATCCCAACATTTTATTATCAAATCTGCAAGTAACTTTGGTACATCTTTAGAAATTGTTGGTCTAAATCCCTTACATATTTTAATAGATAAAAATTCATCATGAGGAATATCATTAAAAGGAATTTCTTCAGAAAGAAATTCGTTCATTATTATTCCAAATGAGTAAATATCTGCTGCTTTTGTATATTGTTGTCCACGTAAAACTTCTGGTGCCATATATGGTAATACTCCATAAATTCCTTCTTCTTTAACTGTTTGCTTTATATTTGCTGGTTGACACATTCCTAAATCACTTATAAATGGATTATAATTAAATAATATATTGCCTGAATGAAAATCTCTGTGAACTTTTTCAGCATTATGAATATCCAAAAGTCCTTTTGCAATTTGTTGTAATTGATCAATTTTTAATTTATAATCGATATAATTTTCAGATTTATTTAAATAATTTCTCAAATTTCCATCATTAATATATCGTATAACCATCATATACTCTTTATTATTTGGATCTTGAGTAATTCCAAAACATTGAACAACATTATTAAGATAAATCTGAAGATGAGATTTAATCTAATTATTATCAAAAAGGAAAAATTTTATTAATAAATAAATGCAAATAACAAACTTTATATATAAGACAAAGTAAGTTTAAATTACCTCATTTAAAAAATCTGAACATATATTAGAAGAATTATTCAAACTTTTCAATGCATATTTTTCATTTTGCTCTCTATACCATTTTTGATTCTCAATATCCCAATATTCAATATTTCCCTCAGGCCATTCTGCTGAATAAATCTTACCAAAGCCACCTTCTGCAATATAAGTGATATTTTGAAATTTTTCAAAAGGTATCCATTCAAGATATTTCATATAATATACAGCATTAAGTTGTGATTGCTGTATAAATTCATCAATAACTTTATTTCCACTAGTCCAATTTTTAAAGTTATCTTTAAATCTTTTAGCATTACAAGATTGACACCATTCTACTCCTGTGCCAGGTTCTTTACATTCTCCACATATTCCATACGCTTGTTTTCTTTTTTCTAAATCTCCTATATAAATTACTCTTTCATCTACATTTTCTGATTCAATAGTTGAATCAGTAGCAGGAATTGTAACATGGAGCTTTTAATAGACAAAAAATTATTAATATTTTTAATTACAAAAATATAATAAAATAATTATAATTATTAAAAATATTAAATTGCTATTACCTGATATTTACTATTATAATACTTCCATAAATTTTTGGGGGTTTCATCCATATTAATTGAGCTGTGGATCATAATTTTAATTTTAGTTATATAAATAAATAACTACGTTACTCAAAAATAATTTCAGAATTATTATGGGCAAAAGAAAAAAATTATGATTTGAACGAAGTTCCGCACTTATTTGTATTACTATTTGTACTACTATTGTAACAAAATTACTATTTTTGTAACAAAGAAAATTCGTAAGCAGCAGCTGATCATCATGAAAAATTCCGAAATGGTTAAAATGAAAAATGCGAAGTAAAATTATTTTCGGTAATGTAGATCATATAATTTTTTTCCTGTATTTTCAAAAAAAATAAAATAGCAATAAAAAAATCATAGCCAAATTATATATCAGAAATAAATTAGTTTGGAATAAAAATTTTAATTAATATAATGAAAATCAAGGTGGATACAGATTATAGTTCGCATATAAGCTTTTTTTATCTTTACGTAGGAAATAAATAAAAATATTGTATGATTGGCTTAAATGAACCTTGTCAAGGACTGTAATAATTACAAAAGGCAAAATTTTGTGTAGTAAATATGGTAAATGAAAGTCATGTAAGGTATTTCATAATATTATCCGTATAGAGAAGATAATATATGATCAAACATTGAATGATCGAAAATTTTATTGTATATACGTAAAGTATATACGTAAATCAATAATGATCTTGAAAAGTTTATTATGCAATTTTAAATTGAGTAAATTTTAAAACAAAAAGAAAATTTATTTATCTTTTATCTTAAATGATATTTATTTAATTATGTATTAAGAGTATTAAGAGATACATTTTTTGAATTGAGACCATATCTTCCTAATCTTTGATGAGGCGTAAAAAAATTAAGAATGAATAAAGTGTGAAAATTGAGGTCAAGTAGTAATAACAAATCTATTTCTACGATAAAATATTAATAAATGTTTTTAGAAAGGATAATCTAACGGACAACAGGTTTCATGAAGATAAATACATCGTATTTTGAATATTGTATTTTATAGAGAATTTTTCAAAATTAAAATTAATGCAAAAGAATGTCAAATACTTCACACAGAAGGAATGATTTGAGAACATAAAGAGCAATAATTGGAAAGATCAGGATTCAGAAACATATGAAGTAATGTTCAAAAGTGAGAAATTCAGTTGGTTTGATAGATGTATGTTTTAAATTTATTTACAAAATTACATTTCTATTAACTCATATCAAGCATAAAACTATAGTTTATGACATAATTGAGTCACTTTATAGATGAATTCATAATAGTAATGCAAATTCATCGAGATTTTACACAGGAAATATTTTATATTCACAATATCATAATTCCTAGTATATAGTGATTTTGGATTTCGTGACCTGCTGCTAAAATTATATGAATTATATGCGATTTTTCTTATGAAACACTTGTCCAAGATTTTAATTAATATTGGTGCGTCAGGTAGCTAAATACATGTTTAGTATCAGTTCTAATTTATTTTTTTTATAGGTCTTAGAAGAATAGGTAAGTAACATTATTCGATAAAAGATCATTACTTTTAATTTGAATGATGAGTTACAATGATTATAATTTATGGAGAAAGAAATTATTTAAATTTTTTTATACAAGTTCAACATTTGTCTCGATTTATTTAGATATCTGATTATCATAATTTGTATAGTCTCTTTTTATATACGTACAAAAAGATCAAATGTATCAAGAGTATTAGAGTAGTATTAGCAGTTTTTAGATTAATATATACATTAGCTTTATATTTAAGCAATTAATAAGTATAACAATTTGAATCTTTATTTATAAAAATTCTTTACTTTTAATATTTCATACGCTTGTTCACTTTTATCTTATAAATACAATACATACATACATAATTATGGATTTAGGAACATTTTTTTGATAGAAAATTTTAGAAAATTAAAAAAAAATTTAAAATACTGTAAATCCAAAATTGATATCCGCATAGGTCAATGGATAGTGATTGTTATTATAATTATATTTTATATTTTTATAAATATCTAATAAGAAACATGTATTAGTTGATTTGATCTAATAAGTAGGTTTGATTTAGTTAATCTGAATAATTTTGAACAGAAATTTAAAAATTCTAATAAAGAAATTTTCAAAAATTCAATAAGTGACGTTTGATTATGGATCGACAATTTGCATAACTAGCTAGTATAAATTCAATTAAATTAAATATTTTTTTTTTTTTTTTTTCTTAAACATTTTAATTTAAAATGATGTCTTCAAAATTTTTGGCAGAATTATCAAGTGATTATGAAAAACTTTTTGAAACAGAATTAGGATATGATGTTATCATTTATGCNTCAAAATTTTTGGCAGAATTATCAAGTGATTATGAAAAACTTTTTGAAACAGAATTAGGATATGATGTTATCATTTATGCTGGAGAGGAGTCAAACATTAAAGAAATTTATGCTCACTCAAATATTTTATGTATCAGGTCTCAATATTTTCGTTCTGCATTTTCTAATGAATGGGTTGAGAAAAAAGATGGAAAATTTATTTTAAGGAAACCAAATATTTCTCCTCGTCTATTTAATATCATTCTCAGGTAATGTATAAATATTAACAATGAAAATTTTATTTGTACTTTAATAATTAACACTATATATTTTGTTAATAATAATTTATTAGATTTATTTATTGTGGAAATATTGAATTGAAAAATTTACAAGGTCCTGAAATATTGCAACTTTTGATAGCAGTGGATGAACTTAATATTCAACAATTGATTTCTTATATTCAAGAATATTTAATTGAACATCAAACCGAATTTTTGCATCAAAATCCAACTGGTATTCTTGAAATTATTTATCAATATGAAACATTTACGGATTTATGGAATTTTTGTCTTGAAAAAATTTGTGAAGAACCTAAAATTTTATTTAATTCAGATAAATTTATTGATTTAAAGGCTCCATTATTTTAAATGTTGATTAAACGAGATGATTTAAATATGAAGGAAATTGAGATTTGGGAAGGTTTATTTAAATGGTGTTTTGCTCAACAAAATATGTTAAATGATCCAACTAAATGGAGTAAAGATGATGCTATAAAAATTGAGAGATCATTACACAGATTTATTCCTTTAATTAGATTCTATGATATTAACCCTGCAGATTTCTTTTATAAAGTTTATTGTTATAAAGAAATATTGCCTCAAGATTTAATTCATAATCTTTTAGAATTTCATATAGTCCCTAATATAAAACCTAAAACTAATGTAGCACCTTCAAGAAAGCCAAACTTAAAATTTAAACTTGATTCAACCTTAATTGAATCAAATCATATCCCACTGTTTGCTTCATGGATTGATAGAAAAGATTCTTATAAAAAAAATGATATTCCTTATGAATTTAAGTTATTATATTGTTCAAGTAGAGATGGATTTGATGCTGCATCATTTCATAGAAATTGTGACAATAAAGGAGCTACTATTTGGATAGCAAAAATTCAAGGTACAACAAAATTAATTGGAGGTTATAATCCAATTGATTGGAGTGGAGATGGTTGGAGAAGCACTACAGATAGTTTTTTATTTAATATTACAGATGAAAAAAATGTTTCTACTGCAAAATTAGGTTATGTTAATAATAACAATGCAAATTATGCTATTTATTGCATGAGCGATCGAGGACCACACATGGGTAATTTCTATTGTAAAGGTAACGACAATTGGACATTTTATCGTTCGGGTATTAATGATGCTAATTTTGCTTATCCTAAAGTAGGAATTCCAGAAAGTTTTAAGGTGGAAAAATATGAAGTATTTCAAGTAATTAAAAAATAATTACTAAATACATCTCCATTTTTTTTATTAAATCTTTACAAAATAAAATTCAATTATTTATATATCAGAAGGGTTATTTGATATGAATTTATGTTAAAAAATTTTTCTACGGTGGTAATTATTAGAAAAGAGCTTAATTTTTGATTTTTACAATACTACTAGAATTTTTTTTTTTAAAAAAAAAAAAATTTCGTTTACATAAGAAAATTAATGTATGTAAAAAAATAAAAAGTATTAACTGTAATTCATGTGATTCCTCTCAGAATTTTCTTTATTTCGTGATTAAATATTTATCATAAAAGATGAAGAAATTATATTAAAAAAATTATTAGATAAAGTGGTAAAATTCATCTATTTTTGAAATATGATCTTACTTGTCACTTTTAAGTCGTATACGGCATTTTTTTGTTTAACCCATTTTTCTTTCATTCTTCAAATCGTTTTGGTATTGCGTGTTGATAATTACTATTATCGATTTCTTTGTGGTTGGCTGACAGCTGACTAGTTTGGTTTGAAACGGGATTGTCTATTTGAAGTTTTGCTCCAGATCATCGGGTTTTGCGGCATAAATTATTTCAATCATTGATAATTAATAAACGTTCGTACTGCGTTAAAAAATTAATAAAAAATAAATATGTTCAATATGTTTCATTTACTATAATTAATTAATCATAATCTTGTAATTTATTTTCGTCTTTTTTTTGATTTTCTTCTTTTCTTTCCTTTCCAAATATCTTATAAATTTTACTTTGTCTTTAATAAAATAAAAATTTCGGTTTAATAAGAAATATACCAAAAAAAAAAAAAAAATAATAAAAATTTAAAAAATTTTTGGTTCAAAAAGCTGGAAAAAAAATAAGAAAATAAACTAAAAAAATATTTCTGTTCAAAAGATCGAAAAAGTAAATAAAATAAAAAAAGAAATTTCTGTTTAAAAACTTTTTTTTTTTTAAACTGAAAAAAATAAAACATTAAAATATTTAAAATATCATTATAATACACTGAATCAAAATTCGTTGCTCCATAGATCGTTGACAGTCTAGCAGTCCTATACAACAAAAATGATGATTCCCACAAAAAAAAAACATTCAAATCAACCGCAGTCAGCTAAACCGTGAACCCCTTTAATGCGTATGCTACTCTCTCCCTAAATATAAAAATCACCTACCATTAGGAGAAATTCAAATTACGAAGATCTCATTGCGATGTGATATGTCTCAGATAATTTTAATTCACAAGTTCTTAGTCAATTCTCTATGTAGCAAGAAATAAATTTTTAAATTTGTTATTTTAGCATATTAAAAGAAGTAATTTAACATTTGTCATGAAACTTTTCAAATTGGAAATTTTATAATGATGCCGATTATCAAAGTTTTTAATGTCAAACTTATTTACAAAAATGTGATTTGATCGAGTAAGAATTATATTAACTTCGATTATCGATTTGATACATTTGAACAATCAATGATTAATCAATTCAATCATGATGCCTCAATTCACTAATCGTTGATACATACTTAAAAAATTTATCATTATAATAAAAAAGAGTACACAATTAATCAATAAAAAAAAATGTGACATAATTTATTGCAAAAAAAAGTATTTATTAAAATGTTTATTCGATTTAGGTGGGAAAATCAAATTTGTGTACGTCTGTCTGTACAATTGTAGTTATTTGCGACATAATCATAACGAATCTAAACAAAATCATTATGAACTAGTTTAAAGGAAGCACACCGAGAAAGCTAGTGAGAAATTATTCTGAAAGAGATGAAGAGATGATTACTTCGTCTGTGATCGTACATTTACAATGTGAAGCAACTTTTGGAGTCTACTATTTTTTTTTTATAGAATTTTCGAGAAATTAATTAACGTCACGAACAGACAAGCATAACTTATTATGGTTAATTTATTTCTGTCATCGCATGTCTCAATGATTCCCATTTTATTTTATTCAGCAGAATCATTTGTTAATTTAGACCGTAGAAACTTATAACGAAAAACTGGTCTGAAGGCACTAATATAAACATTTAAAACGAATTCATGTATATGAAATATTTTCCAATAATATCATGACTAGATATGTATTGCGCGAATAGGATGAATATTTTGCATAGGCAAAAAAAGGAAAGACCTATATGATTGTTCTAAGTATCATCATATTGTATAACTTTTATGATACTAATATACTATTTCATTTTGCATAATATCAATTTTAATTTTTTAATAATAATAATAATAAATCAGATTGGATCGAAATTTCATCTTTAAAAATAATAATAATAATAATAATAATAATAATCACCATGCCAATAATTTATAGGAATGATGAAAACAAAAAAAAAACAATAGTTTTGATAATGGAATTAAAAATAAAATATGTACTAAAAATTTCAAGATAAATTACAATTTGAGTCCTCCTTAGGCTCATTTCCTGTCACAATTTCCTTAGGCTCATTTCCTTTCATAATTTCCTTAGGCTCATTTCCTTCCGTAATTTGAAATATCTCATATTCTTCTACGTTAAATCTACCATTAATTTTTCTAATCGATTTTTCATAACGTAATGGATTAAACGTCGTATTTCCACATTTGTTTCCATACAAAACAAGATCATGACTAAATCCTAGACTGCGGCTAGCGTAATTAAATATAGCAAATTCTTCATCCTTTACTCGGCTTAAAATATAATCTTCAATATTTTCCTTATTCCTAAACGAAAATATAAAACTATCCTTAGTAATACCAAAACTACAATCAGTTTTCCATGTGATCGGATTATATCCTCCAAGAATTTCATTACTATCTTCCACTTTAATAATTGATATAGTATGAGATTTATTATCACAAATTTTATGGAATATACTAGGTGAGAATCCATCACGAGATCCACGAAGTATTAATTTGAATTCATATGGATTACTTATCTCGTCCGTAATTTCTAATTTATCAATCCATTTAGAGATTAATTCAGTATGTTGGATTGTGATGATTTTTGAATCCATATTTTTTGAACTAATTTCTTTAGTTATCACTGGTTCTGGCTTATTATCTGGTTGATTTATAAAGTGTTTGATTAAATTTTCACGTAAGTCTTTTGGTAAAACCTTCTTATAAGGATAAACGTTGTTCAAAAATTGTTTATGGCTTAAATTAAAGAATTTAATAAAAGAAGTACATTGTTGTAAAGTATCCCTTAGAGTGTTAAGATCATTTTTTGAGTAGTTTGAAGGATCTGAAGGAAGTTCTGGATTTTGAGCAATACCCCATTTTAGTACATGTTCCCAAACTTGAATAACATTCTTTTGAAAATTTTTATGTTGAATAAGAGAAATCACACAACTTTCTGAAAGCGAGGTAAAATCGTTTGAATTAAAAAATTTTTCTGGTTCATTAAATATCAATGCTTTACAAAAATCTTGTAATTTCAAGAAAGAATAATTCTCAAAACTTGTTTTATATATCAAATTAAAATTTTGTTCCATCCATTTTTTTTTATTTTTGATCAAAAATAATTGTAAATGAGTGATTAATTCTTGAAGTCCAAGTTCACTGGAAGCAATTAAAATTTTAATAATATCCGAAGTATCATATCCTTTTAAAAAAAGGCTTCCTCCATAGATATATCTAAAATTAAAATATTTGAATAATTCTGTAAGTACGTACGTAAATATAGGGTTTTTTTAAATAAAAGAATTGTTATAATTTATTATTTCATTTCTCTCACCTTAAGATCGTTTGAAAAATTTCCGGTGAAATATTTGGTAATTTAATATGTGTTAAACTTCCATCATTATTATTTCTACTAACGCTAGTTGATAAGATTCTTCGCAAATAAGGGGAACGATAATTTAAAATGACCATATGAGCTCGAAAAATTTTTACATAAGGATCATTACCAACTTCAATTGTTATATCATAAAATTCATTATCCTCTAAAATTTCAAGTAAATTTTGTGATAGTTTTGGTAAAAATTTATTATTGTTCATTATAGTCGTATTTCGTTTTTTTTCAAGAAATGAAAGAAATTTTGTCCTAGTTGGTTGAATGACCGACCTTATATATCTTGTACGGAAAATCCTTCGGCCCGAAATACCGAAACACCGAAACACCGACTCAAGGTTGATCACGTGATTATTGATGTCGCGCTTATCTTCAAAATATTTAACGTATCTTTAATGCTTAGACCATTAGACACTTACAAGACTATCACGAAGTATATTACGGTTATGTATAAAAGATTTATATAACTACATTATTCCTAAAATCCATTTATTAAGAAAAATTTTAGAATACTATTTCTTTTTTTTTTTTACGACGTGGCAACCGTGGCGTGGTAATATCTATAAATTTGAGATATTAAGTTTACCATTAAATCAATTTTATAAATTTTTGATTCATACATTCAACATTGCTAACTATTTTTGAGATTCCATAAAACTGGATGCTATTTGCATGATAATCAACTCCAAGTTGCATTTTTAACTTAATATATTTTAAAATGCAGTATAATATTAGCAAGTATATATATTATATGGTGCCACCACTCTGTGATGGAGCTTTGAATCCGACGGATCGAGTGACCCGACAGGTTGACCCGAAATATTCGGGTCGGGTCAGTGTCAGCCGGTTACCCGACCCGTTGACCAAACATACATTTGGGTCAATGCTTATTCGCACGAATTTCTCTTAAAAAGTTTAATAAAAAACGTTACGAACACGTTTTTTTGATAAATGTTTTAATTAAAAAAACGTTTCTCAACTTTTTTTTTAAAATTTTTTTTTAATAATTTGAATATAAAGAGTTTTGGCATTTTTTATATATAAAATGCAAAACCATTTTTCTTATTAACTTTTGGGTCGGGTCACCCGACCGTGATATTCGGTCGGGTCATCAAATTCATGACCCACCTCGGGTTTGATCAAGTCAATTACCTGACCCGACCCGTTCGGTGTGGCTTTTGAGGCTTTTAACTTTGATCCGGCTTTGATTTGTTTACTATGCGACAAAGATATTATAAATAATATTGTAAACAACTTTTAACTTGTTTATTATGCAAAACAAAAAAGTTTACAAGTTTGTGGCATTTTGTGGCATTTGTGGTTGTGGACATAAAACAATTAATAAGAGAATTTGTTAAATTCAGAGATAAATCACTTCTTCGCATAAAATTTATCTTGTTTGATCAATCATTACGAAAGATAAAATGCAATATAAACAATATAGACTTCAAATTCTTGTAAATGGCATGCCTTTGGAAGAATGTTGGGAACCTTTGGATAGTAATGATAATAAACTTTCCAGTTACACTCGAGATAACATCACTAATTTAAAATATGAAAGGTATTTGATTTTACTTTTTTTATAATATTATCATTATAGATACTAAAAAAATGCTTTGTTATTATCGTAAAAAGTGAATCGATTCATTACGCAGCAGTCAATGTAGATCATGGTACTCGTTTCTCCGTACGTTTCTCGGCTGAAGATGCGACAAAAGATGAACCAATAAAGGCTTATCTCTCAGTTGATGGAAATTGGGATTTTACGTATTATCAGCTTTATAATGAAAAATTTTGTAGAGCAAATGGGTTTTGGAATAAAGATAGAAACAAAAAATATTATTTCAAATTTATTCAAACAACAAGTTCATCATCATCAGATACTAACAACAGCATCACCAATGTTAACGAAGAAACCAATGCCGACATTGAAGAAACCAATATTGATAGCAAAAAAGCCAATATTGACAGCAAAGAAAATGAAACCAACAAAGAAACTAATGTTAACAGCAATGAAACAAATATTAAGGAAAAAGGACCAAATGATAATAGATTTTCTTTAATGAAATCTAGTGGTCCCGGATGCGTTTCAGTGTATTTTTATCGTGCTAAATGGGTAAATCAACAGTGTAAAGTTCCAAATTTTATTATTAATAAAACATCAAATGCTGAAGATATAAGTTTATATACTGGATTTGATGAAGAATTTGATGACCAAAATTTTATACAAAATGGTGTTGTTAATTTACGAAGAATATCCAAAAATCCAATTGCCGAGTTACATATTCATTATAGGGATATTTCGTATCTCACAGATCGAGGATTTATCTTCCCTAATTTGAATACTCCAAAGAGTGATTTAATTCGAGAGGATTATTTTGAAAATATTACTACTAATAAAGAGAATAGATTAATTAAATATGTAAAGCCAACAATAATTATCACTAGTCACTTCGATCAAACTGGACTAATTGACAGAGAAGAAAGCAACTTAATTAAGAAAGAGAGGTCAGATAAAGTGTTTTTGACTGTAGAAAAATCAAACAAACGATCTTTTGATCCTGATGAAGAGGAGTCAATTAATAAACGAGTAAAGTATGATGTTACTGAGGGGAAATTAACGAAAATGTAATTATTATTGAAGAATCTGATGATAGAAATATTTTAATGTCCAATGCTTTTTTAATCAATGTGATGCAACATTTATGCAACATTTAACTTCTTCTTCATCACTAACAGTGATAAGATTAAAGTGTCTAATCTTGTTTATGACATAAATAAATTTGATTATGCAATAATATTTATTTAACTAATAGCTAATATCAATACAAATTAAATAATTTTCAAAAAAAAAATATACTAAACGCTTCAAAACTTATGGTATTATATAACAGCTGTTCTATTAGAACTAGAGTACTTCAAAATTGGGACGCCTTTTAAAAGAAATACAGTACGCAAATCAAAATTAAAAGTTTATTCATTTCTTTGTTGATATGTTTGTACGTTAATTCCTATTCTATTCACTGTTATTCATAAATTATCAATTCACTTTCCCCTTTATATTATATTTATTAGAGATAAACGCATGAGTGATTTTGAATAGAGTATTGCTAAATCTCACCGCTAGTGATTGTCACCTTACGATAGAATTTTAGACCGAATTAAAAATGTCATGAAACTCCGCCCATTAATATTATTTTGCTAATGCTGGTACGGTGAAAATCACCTGCGGTGAGATTTAGCAATGCCCTTTTAAATAATCTATTTTTTCAAATTAAAACCTTAATTTAATAATCAAAATTTTATATTATTTGAAAGGAAATTTACTAGAATCCAGAATCTGGAAGAGTTATTGCAGATTTCCAATCACAGTCTGACTTTAAATTTACTACCATCTAAATTAATGATCATTCTCGTTGATAATCCATACATAATCGAGCCAAAATTGCCAAAATTATAATTGAAAAGTTGGTTTATCTTCAAATATATTATACGTTGCAAGTAAATTTCTTTTGATCAAAATAGGGCACTTACTCCATTGTTTCTTTCTTACAAATAGTTTTCACGTAGTTTCTCCTATTTCCATTCTTTATGAAACCACAGTTATATAAGAGTAAAGTTTTGGAGGTTTTCTGACTACATCAACTTTTGTATAAACGTCAAGATGCATATCATGTAAATGTCAGGTGATTGATATTTTTGTTTAGGAATATGATCGGAAACCTGATTTAAATCCAATGCTAAAGAAGTATCAGTTTACCGATGTTTGTCCAGAATCTAAACATTAATTTGCAACAGGAATGATCATCAGGCTATTATAATGGTACAATCTATGAAGAATCAGTGAAGAATCAGGATTGTGATTCTTCAATATATTATCATTCAACCAGTGATTTACTTGCGTAGGAAAGGATGGTTTATAGATTAATTATATTAATATAGCTTAGTTTTTTTTTTACTATATGTAATGTTTTGCTATATAATGTACTGCAGTTAAAAAAAAACATTTAACCTGAAATATCAGATTATTCAGATAGTTTTGATTTATTTTACTTTTTAGCCTACTTCCATTGATGTTTTCATATACTAATTAATACATAAGGCTAAACTTTAGTAAATTTCATTAGAGCATTAAAGTTTTAGTTCTTTAATATTGATACGCTAATACACTTTCCTTGTCTTTAACTAAGTCTTTTAAAAATATTAAAAAAGAATGATCATATTAAAAAACCTAATTTAAAGATCTTATAAAACTGACCAATATGACTAACAAGAAGGATGCAAAAAAGAAAAAATTGATAAGTAGCAACTGCTGCTAAAAAGCCTAAACATGTAAATAAGACTGATGATAATTGATAAATATAAAGTTCTAGTAGTTTTATAGAAAATAAGTAGTATCATATAAAATTGGTAATTTATATATCTTTGCATAAAATGAATGGCTATCCTCATACATGACTACCTTATGTCATTATGATGCATTTTTTTGTTTGCATTCATGGATTCTTCTAACTTGTTTGGCTTTTCCCTTCAGTAAATTCTGCATTGAGTTTATTATATTTGTAACTATACCAAAGTTCTTCTTTTACACTACCATGAGGGTAAATGACTTTGTTACTTGAGACCTTTGAAGTCATTTGGTTACCCATTGCTTCTAAATGTTGTTCATCATTTGCAAAAGAAGGATTACTGGTTTTTATAGTTGCCCTTTGACTTCTCAACCCGGTAATGAAGTCTTCTTTACTTAAAAGTTTGTTTTGGTCTTCCATTTCCAAATTCTTCAGTCATTCAGAATCATAAATTGCCTTCATAAGATCCTTTTTATTGTTAAAATAGATCAATATATATTTTGTTTTGTTCGCTCTAACAACTTTTGCAAAGTTTTTCCATATTTCTCTATATAATCATAGATAATCATGTGGTCAGGATTTTAAATTAGTTTGATAACGCAGATACAGTATTTGGATAAATTCAATATCCGTTTATCCCGATTAATTAACGGATTGATATGACACATTATTGTACACTCTTCAGATAAATGATCTTCCGTTGGAATTGAAAAATCGTTGTTGTAAATATTTTTGTACCTTATTTGCTTCTGGTAAATTATTAAAGATATTTTCCAATCCTTCAAAATTAGATCTTTCTATATCTTCTGTAGAACCCATATCATTTATTATTCACATCCTCACTTGTAAAAGAATGTCAGTTTTAAACCAACAAATCCGAATACCATGATGTAGAAATATAATTAATAGCCTCTTTAATATTTAACTTCAGTTATTCCTAAAATAAGAAAAAGAAATTACTTGGAAAATCTCACAAATTTTAGGTGTTAAATGTAAATTAAAAATCAAATTTAACTTTTCACAACATTTCTCCTATCTTTAACTCGCACCAAATGTCACAGGAATACTTGTATGAACGATTTTACAATTTTTTGCGCTAATCGATCACGTTATAAATGACGTTAATTGCCGAATCAAATTCTCGCTTATACTTGGACTTAAAGCATCCATATGCTGAAGATGAGCCGTTCCCTATAAAAAATTTTTATCCGAATATTTCCATTATTTCTCCGTGTCTTCCGTAAAAATTCCGTGAAAATGATACATTCACGGATATCCGTATTAGCGAGATGAAAATTTCCATGATTTAAGGCTATAAATTCCATTAAAATGATACATTCACGGAAAAAACATGGAAAGATAAAACACGGATCAGATTTTTTACAGGGGTTATATTAGGAGGAAAAGAAATAAGCTTAATATTGGTAAGTTTAATATCAGGATTTTCTTTGTTAATTTTTTTTTTGTTTGGTTGGGTTGCTTTCTCTACGTCTTTTTTTTGCTTTGAAGCTGAATGGATGATTTAGGTACCACTTCTTCGCTAATATCATCATCTACCTCTTCTCCTCTTCTTCAGGATCATCAGCTTTCATCAAGTATTTTTAGACCACCCTGCGTTATCACATTATCAATAGTGTAAAACCAGGTTGAAGTCGCCTGACGTTATCCAGTCGGCACAGTAAGTTATAAGAAGTACTGATTTGTTTAACATTTTAAGACAACGTGGATTAGGTAATTTTCCAATCACTAAAGGTTCGGAGCTTTCATGAAATGTTTTAAATATTTTTAATGTTTTATTAGAGGGGGGTATCAAATGTTTTTTTAATAGAATTTTTTTTAAAAGAATTAATGAAACTATTTAATATAAATAAAGTTTTTTTTTGGTTTTTTTAACGAAAAACAATTATTTTTTTTTTTTTTTTTTTTTTTTTTTTTTTTAAAAAAAAAAGATGTTGTTCTATACTTTTAAAAAAAAAGATTGTCAATATTTTTTTTTTAAAAAAAAGGATGACGATATTTTTGTTTAAAGAAAAGTGACAAAATATTCTAAAAAAAAAATAAAAAAATGATGAAAATATTCTTATTAAGATAAGAAAAAAAAACGATTTTTTATACAAAAAGGTGACGAAGCAAACTATTATTTTTTTAAAAAAAAATGAAAATAACAATTTTTCTCGTCCGGATATCCGGATACTTTATCCGTACTAAAAGTTGATTTGGTTCCATTAAGAAAAATAAGTCTGTTTCATTCGTTTTATAAATATGATCTTCTATGATATACTGACCATTTCCCTTTTTGGATTTGATAATATTATTTCCTTAGTTTTTTGGAACTATAATTCGGGACAGCACTATAAACTCAGCCCGAATTAAGCATGAATCCAAAACCCATAATTCATCTGATGTCCTTAGATCCGTGATGGATATCCGGATAGATAAAATTAATTATGGATCAGATTAATGGATCACCACGTACTTAACGGACGCATGGCAATAGAAAGCCATACAAGCTACAAGATTAAGATATTATTGGTGGTATGTGAATCACGCAATATTTATTAGAAATTATGTAACGCCACTTCTACAATGTATTCACCAGTTATGTTATTTAAAATTATATATCATATAATGCAAAATTTTGACTGCAAGCCTTCGCGGCTTATGCTAAGGATCAGCTGATTGCTCAACACCACAAAAAAATCTAATCAGAAATTTTAATTAAAAATTTTGTTAAATAGAAAATATAAAGGAAAAATTTACAGTAATTCACTTTAAATAATAAACTATTATTTTATAATAATGATCAATCATCTTTCATAAAAATCATGTAAACTTTAGTTCACATTTAATAAAAGAATGTAGGAAATTCACATCTTTAAATTATTGCAAACAGCTGATTAATTAATTAACAATTGTTGGTAATTCGTCTTCTTATATTAATAATAATGCAGTAATATTTAAATCATGACTAACTATCCCTGTATATTCCATCTTTTTTTCGTAAAAGCTCATATCCTCGAAATTAATAACCTTTTATTACGGAATTTATCAAATTACATTTTCCATGAATGGATGTCCGCGAAAGGCTCATTTTTACGGAATTTTTACAGAAATAACGGATAAATATTTTATAGAGTATAACGAAAAAATACGGTAACATCGACTACTTCGACTACTTAAAGCAAAAATTTCTTTTATTATTATTTTTCTATTTTTAAAAGATTATCATTCTCTTTTTTTGTTATTAAGCTTATTAATAAAAATAATTGAAAATTTTTTAAGAATTATCATAAAAGTTCCCTTAATTTAAATATATTTATAATGATTATCCGCAGTACTACATAGCATTATCATGTAGTCAATATTAACTTCCTTAGTTATATTATAAATACATTGTTTATTAAAATTTATTAATTTATTTATTAAAGTGGCTTATGCAAATATACAAATGAATGAATGGCATCAAAAAGTTGTAGCGTAAAATTAAAAAAAAAATTTTGTTCCGCAGAAGCACATCACGTGGTTTTTAATCTTCTACTCAAAGATATTTAATCCATATACTCTTTTCCTCTATCAATGATTAATAACTTTTAATTTATTT